CTTACAGAATACTTCTACACTTCAACTGTTTGGATTTTTCACACCATACAATTATCCAGTTCTCTGCGGGGACCAACTGAGTATCTTACAGTTTAACTCCATTCTGACACTAATCAGAATGAGTGTATACTTCACAGATTAAGGGCTCAGTCTCACAAGACTGTCCTCCCTACTTTAGATGAGATTTGCAAGTCCGGTTGTTACCTGTGCTTTTGACTGACTGGTTATAAATTAACGGTTACCATGACCCTCTTGGGTTCAGTAATTTATTGGATGTCTCACAGAACACAGGAAAACAGTTTATTTACTATGGCCAATTTATTAGGAGGATATTTTAAAGGCTATAAATTGACAGCCAGATGAAGAGTTACATAGAGCAAGGCACGGGGGAAAGAGCTGGGAGCTTCCATGTTCTTTCTAGGCATGCCATCCTCCCAGCACCTCCATGTGTTCACCAGCTTGGAGGAGGTCTAGACCCTGCGTATTTTTATGGAGGCTTCTTTGTGTAGGAAATGATCGATTAAGTCTTTGGCCATAGTTGATTGAACTCAATCTCCAGGCTCTCTTCCCTTCTGGGAAGGGTGAGGGTGGGGTGGGACTGAAAGTTCCAATCCTCTAATCACCTGATTGGTTCCCCTGGCAGCCAGCCCCCATCGTGAGGCTATCCAGAAGCCCCCAGCCCCATCGTCTCATTAGTATACAGAAAAGATACTTACATTTCAGAGATTCCAAGGGTGTGCCAGAAAATAGGGTCAGAAACCAAATATATATTTGTTATTATGTCACACCCAGCACTTCTATTTCTGGGTATAAACCCAAAAGAATTGAAAGCGGAGTCCCAAGGAGATATTTGTATACCTGTGTTTAACAGCAGCATTGTTTATAGTAGCACAAAGGTGAAGGCAACCGAAGTGTCCAGTGAGGGGTGAATGGATGGCAAACTGTGGTATATACTTATAATGCAATATTATTCAACCTTAAAAACAGAAGTTCTGACCTACGCTGCAATATGGATGAAAATGGAGGATGTTATTTTAAGTAAAACAAGCCAGTCACAAAAAGACAGATACTGTACGATTCCACTTATAAGAGTTACATAGAATAGTCAAATTTAAAGACTCAGAAAGTAGAAGGGGGGTTGTCAGGCTGGGGGATATGGGGAGTTGTTGTTTAATAGGTACAGAGTTTTGGAGTTCTGGAGATTGGTTGCTCAGTAATGTACTCAACACTGCTGAACTGTACAGTTAAAATGGTTAAGATGGTAAATTTTATGATGCATAATCGATCACAATTAAAATTTAAAGTACCTTGGTCACCACCATGGAACATTAGAAAGTAGAAAAGGATCTCTGTTTTTGGCAGCTGGAGTAACCAACCTCACCTGTTCTGGTGTCTTTCAGGCCTGGCGTTCCCTTGACCATGCAGGCGTTCTCAGAAGAGGAAAGGAAGCAGTGGCTGGAAGCGCTGGGTGGAAAAGAGGCTGTAAGAATAATCAGTGGTCCAGTTTTATTTCAAATCCTTTGGAGTTGACTTGTGTTCATTTTTATGTTATTTTTATTCTGTAGTACTTGGAAAATGTTCCCCGTTGAAACTGGTGTTTGAATTCATCTTGGAAGCACTCAGTATTCTAGTCATTTGACTTGAGGTGGCAGCGGTGCACATAAGACTGGTGTATCATTAGTTTTTACTTTTGATGTTTCTTGACTTTGCCACTCGCATTTGCTTTGCTTGAGGAAGTCATCTAAATTCCCCATTTTTCCTTCCTACCTGATGGTACTTTGGGTGATGAGCACAATAAAGGCTTGCAATTCATTTTGATCTCAGTGAAGATGGATCAGTAAATATGAAGCAGTGCAGGCAGTATCATAAGTGACTGCTGTAATTGACTTAGCAATTTATGGTTTAGCCTAATGGATTACTGTATGCAATATCATGCAACTTTAGTGAATGGGCCTCTATCTTCAGATTGGTTCAGGAATAAATTAAAGGCAGGGATTTAGATCCAGAGGCACAGGAATTCAGTCTTTATTCAAATACTACTTTCATTAAAGTGGACTGCTGACCTTTGGGAGTTGAGAATTGGGCAGATTGCGTGTTGAATTGGGGACTTAGTGAGGATAATTATAGAAAACGCCATAGAATCAATTTAAATAAACTCTGCTTCAAGTATAATAACTGAATAAATTGCCAGTGCAGGTACTAGGTGGGCTTATCTGGAAAGCATTTGCCATTCCAGCAGGATTTTAAAAAAGGAAAAGGGTGTGGTTTGCAAAGTGGAAGAGGGGTCATGCAGTAAAAAGAGTTGTTAGAATAGAGTTTACGAAACGGACAGCATTACTATTGGTAACGGGGGCACATTGGTGAGAGTATGGGCAGTAGGGGCAAGGTGACCGGGCAGCAGTGCCTGTGGCAGTCTCGATGGGATGTTCGAAAAAGGAAAATCTGAATTATATTTTTTAAAAGTAGCCCTTATACAGGAGAATGTATCATCCTTGTGGGAAAAAAGTAGTAAGCAGATTTCTGTATCATTTTATCATGTTTATCTGCATTTAGGCTCTGTAGTTTTATTCGTGTGCTTATTCTTAATTTGTCCTTCAAATTTAACTAGGAATCAAGAGTACTTAGAGCATTAATAGCTACTGAGATCCAAAACAGGGTATGCTAATCCTCTAGCAAAGACAGTGTGTTGACTAGGACTTATCTCCTCAGATGCAAGAGGTGGTTTGGAAAGTGAGTTTGTATAGCAAATAGATCACTTGACTTAGTCCTTGAGATATCAGTTAGTATAACCTCAAAGATGTATATAATCTCTTTTTTAAAGAGCCAAGTAATTAATTCGAGATTCACAGATAAAGGCAAGTCTCCAGAAAGAAATCATGCACTGCATACATGTACCGCATATGCTATAGTAGTACCATAAGATTATAATGGACCTGGAAAATTCCTATTGCCTGTTGTAGCCTTTGGGGCATATTACGTATTTGTGGAGATGCTAGTATAAACGTACTGCACTGCCAGTTGTATTAAAGTACAGCACTTAGAATTACTGTAGTAAGCTGTACCATTTAGGTTTGTGTAAGTGCCATCCCGTAATGTTCACACAGGATGAAATCACCTACTGATGGATTTCTCAGAGCATATCCCTGTTGTTAAAGAGAGCATAACTGACTTTAGCTATATGTTTATGTGGGGACAGCTAAGGTACTGCATATTTTTTTCAGATGCTATATATGCCTTGCAAATAACGGGGAAGTGCTAGAATTCTTAAAGGCAGCCTAGAATTATTACCTAGCTATTTCAGATGTAGTTATTTAGATGATAGGCAGGAGTCATCTCTTAATAGAGTAAATACCAAATTTTAGAAATTATGGTGAAGAGATGAGGTTAATTGTAAGATTGAGCATTTCATATTTACATGAACTTCCAATAAGTTCCTTAAGAAATATGGGCCCTTCATCTTATTTTTGCTGCTTTGACATACCTCGGTGAGAGACAAATAGATTGTGTTGACATTTGCACACATGATGGTAATTCACCAATGTCAGTGTATTTTTTGCATGGTTCTAGATATGCCTACTAAGTCATTTTTATTGATTTGTTAAAAATATTGTTTCTCTTTTTTCTCTTACTAGTTGTTCCATAGTTTTAATAGAGCCATCATCCCAAGACCAGAAGGAAGTAAGTGCTAATTTTTAAAAGAGACTGTCTCTCTTTTTCACAAGTGTTCTTGTTTTCATTGCTGATGTGAGACTATTGCTGGGTACTCACTCTGCATTCTCTCTAAGCTAATCCTCCAGATGTTACATATATCCTATCGTATTCAACTGGAGGCCTGTTCAGATCTTCCTAGACTACTGTAACCCTCACTAATCTTTCCCATATCTGAGCTTTTAAAAAAGTCTTTCTCTACAATTGCTTTCTCTACAAAAACCAAAATATATTCTGTATAATTCACTTCGATATTTATTCTTCTAGCCATAAATGAACACATAGGAATTTCAGTTATGTGTCTTTCAGCTTCCTTAAGGGTAGGACCTGTTTATCACGTCCCCCGTTTGCAACCCTCCTCACCCTTGATATCCTTTAACTTTAAAGTCTCTGAAAGTGGCTATATGAACATTAGGCCATTGCACCTTAGAAAATAATAGACAATGGCCAAGTATTCTAAGACAGTGATCTTCACTTGCATTGTGTGCACTAGAGGAGCATAAAGTACTGCTTGGCTCTGTACTCTTGATTTTTAAACAGATGAACCAAAAATATGATCAGATTTGCTGGATTCTTGATGAATTTAATTTTGATATCTTTGGAGAAGTTAAGACTACATTTATCGCATGTCCACAGTTTGGAAACAATATTACGTAACACACGATTTCAAAATTATCGTGATGTGCCTATCTCTCAAGTCAATGCTTGAATAGAAGACATCTCTTCTAGCCTGGTGTTGGAAACCGTGCGTGGGAAGTTGTAAATGTCAGGAGCACCTTCTTCTTTCTGTCCCTCCCACCCTCCTCCCCTTTTCTCTACTGTCTGTCTCCTCCCTTTCCCCACTTTTCCCTCCCTCCCTTTCTTCCTCTTTTCTTTTCCCTCTTTCCTTCCTTTCCCTTTTCTCTTTTTTCTTCTCTTTTCCCTTTCTTATTTATAGAAAAATGGAAACATGCCTTTTTTGTGAGGAAAAAAGTTTTCACAAGCAAAGGGAAACACTTGCATTTTATAAAATGTTGTGAATAGTGAATCTTTAAACAGTAAACCACAGCCCAATTTCCTTTATTAAAATTCTCTTCAAGCTTAGCATTAAACCTGCAAAGTTTATATTCATGGATTGTTCACGCTATCCCCTCTGAGAGCCAAGAGTTAGTATTGCTCTCCTCTAGTTCTAAATTCAGACTAAAATATTTGCTTTCCCTGATTTCATTTTGAAACAAGAATTATCTTTTATTAGGCTGTTCAGATATGCCAGCCTAATCATAGGCAAGTGTCTGTATTAAAAAAATACATATAAAATTATATTTTCAAAATCTTTTACATGAATCATCTGTTTTAAATTCATTATGAAAATAATAAATATTAAATGCTTAGAACATGGTATAAAATATGAAACTCTTTTTGAAGCTCATGACCCAAATAATATTCTTAAGAAGTATTTCTTAAATATTTTCCCCTAGGTTAAAAAAAAAGTTTGTTTTATTTCTCCAACTGTCAAGTAATTTTAAAACGTTCATTCACATATAATTTTTAAAAAAACTAAGGTGGTGTTGGGATTTTGGCAAAATATATCTCAACTATTTCTGAATAGCTTACCCTAAAGATTTTTATCACTTTTTTCTCCACTGGTTAAAATAAGTTATGTTTATTAATATAAAATTATATTAATTATAAATTTAAAGTTTATAAATTATCGGTAATAGATGTCCTAATATTCCAGTAAGTGCTTTCCTAAATATGTTAAATTCTCATTTACATTATTGAAACAGACAATATATAACTTTAACTTTTTTAATAGTGAAATAATAAATTTAATTAAAAAACTCTTTTTGTTTTTGTAAGTCTTTAACTGCACCCTTAATATTTGATAACTCTTTATTTTAGGTGCACAGTTGGATAAGATGGGATTCACAATTATCAGAAAATGCATCAGTGCAGTTGAAACACGAGGTAACATGATTGAATCAGTTTGTTCATGAATGGCATAAGGGTATGTAAAAATCTAAGAGTCATTTAAAATGCTTGTTGCATGGTTAAGTGTTGTAAAGTGAAAACCATTAATGCAAAAGGCACATTCTAAGTGTCACAGTTTCAGTTGTTCATTTATTATGATGGGGGAGATTTCCTTTTTTATTTACATATTTCTCCCCTGCATTGAAACATGAAGTCAGTGCTAAAATGAGAATTATTAGAAGAATCAGCAGTGTTGGGCTGCCAATCTTAATCACTTTTTGATCATGCACTATTAAGATGTTTCCATCTTCCATTGTCTTGTCAGCCTCCATTTAAATATCAGCTTCATTGATGTACAATATATATGCAATAAAGTTCACTGATTTTAACGGTACAAATTGATGAGTTTTGACAAATGTATGCAGTTATATAGCTACTACCACAATCATAGATTTCTGTCTCTGGTCAAAATTCTTTTGTGCCTCTTGGCAATCAATCTCTGTTCCTTCCTTGGCCTTTGATAAGCCACTTAGCTAACTGCTTTTTATCACTTAGATTTTTTTTTTTTTTTTAGCATTTTATATAAATGGAATTATGCAGTGTATAGTTTTTTGAGTCTAGCTTCTTAATTTAGTATGATGCTTTTGAGATTCATCTTGTTGGATGTATTCTTAGCTCATTTTCTTTTTATTACTAGGTAGTATTTCTTTAGATGGATAAACTGCAATTTGTTTATTCATTCACATGTTGATGAATGTTTGGGTTGCTTCTATTTTAAATTTAAGGCTAGCTAATCCTTTCCTCAACCACAGGCTCAAAGGCATTTTCTTTATAGTCCCTAAGGAAAAATAGGGCTCTGGCACTTTGTAACCATTCTTATAGACTTTAGAGAAACTAAATTTTGAACATTGCAAACAGGCTCTTTCTGGAGGTTGAATTTCTCTTTGTTTAGAGACCTAGTAAAGTGTATGGATAAAGGAATATTTCACTTTCGTACACTGCATATCCCAGTCCTATTTTGGATGACTTAGTGAGACGAAGCATCGCATTCATGTTTTCTGTCAAAACAAGGCCTTTGTTATAATGCCAAGATTGCCACCTGTGAAATTAGAATGCTGGATAACAGATGAATGTGAGCTGAGCTGTTTCATGATTTGGGGATTTGCCCATCAATAATAAAAATCCAAGCCACAGAAAGCCTTCTCTCTCATACTCTTACAATGGCAATTCAGGCTCTGACAGATTTTTCATTCATTTAAACCTGCACTGAAGTTGAGCTAACAAATTTCTTCATTTTCCTAGTGCTTCAGAATTTCCAGAACTTAGAAAAAATGCTGTGATTTTCATCTCTCTCACTTTTTTATTCATATTTTTGTTTTTCTTGAGCTTCTTAAGAACCGTAATTGTATCACTTGCATGCTTATTATTTTGATAAATCATTTCCCCCAAATATATGTTTTATACATACTTACTTCTTTCTGAACAGATAAAAATCTGTCTAGAACTCTTTCTGATCAGTGCGTGTAGTTTTTTTAGGGTGTTATGTACATTGAATAGAACATATGTACTGGAATCTGCATATATTGAATTTGTTTTTATTATAAATATGTAAATTAGATGTTTTTAACAGAAGAATGAGTCTAAACATTTTTAGATTTTCCCATTTAAAAATTTTTAAAAAGCATGTTTTTCTTTTGAAATCTTTTATTCCTAAAGGTCTTCCATTACAAAAGCCTTTTGTTTTTAATGGAGTAAAAGACTAAAAATAGAATTAAAAAGATCAACTGTCAGATCATATTAAAAACGATGAGGAACATCAGAGAATCTGTGAGGCTTTTATGCTTAGTTTGGAAGTTCATTCGAGGAATTCGGTCTTAATAATGTAATGATTTCCACCCAGTCAGCTTTGTGGCTGTTGGCCTTTTTTATGCTACAAGTGATGTTGCCTCACTTTTTTCATCAGTCGGAATAAAGCCAGTTTATGTTCCTGTAACAAGAAACCTGCATGTGTTCCATGGCTTAAAACAGGACTTAGCTCTCACTCAGGCCTTGGAAGCCAGGCTTTGCTCATCACTGATACGTGCGTGTACCAGTGCCTGGTTGCCTTGCCAAAGGGAAACAGCTCTCGAGGGCTTTGGACCAGCCACTGAGTGCTCTGCTTTTGGAGCAAGTTACATTTCCTCGCAACTGATTGGTCAGAAATAGCCACAAGACCCCTCTCGACCTTAGGAGTCCAGGTAACACGACCCTCCCAGGAGCCAGGAAAACTGGTAGAGGGTGGAAATATTTGGTGCATAGCATTAGTGACTGCTGTGTCCTTCATGGGTCTATGTGCCTGTTGACTAGAGGCATTTAAGAAGATCTGATTGAAAAATGATCTCTAATCACCGTTTTCAGTGTTTTAAACATGACTGCCTTTGTCCGAAAACTGTCATTTTATATGTTTTGGTTAAAGCAGTTAGTGTATATTTTTCATAACATGTTCTTTTAAAAACGACATTTGACATTTTTATTATTAATCTTATTTGTGACATCACTGAACTATCAAACATCTAAAACTTACTATAGTCCTTAGTACCCTAAGAAAAGATAACATTTTTAGTGTGCTAACAAATCTTTGATTATATAGTATATGACATTAACATAATATAGTGTTAGGTAACATATATACTTTATGTTAACATATGTAGATGCTAATATATCTCGGCCAGAGTGGGACTGTTTAGCAGTTACTCCTGAGATGAGAGCAAACCTCATTTCACTACAATATCAGCATCAATTAAAAGCTCTCATTTCTATTGTCATTTGCTCATGAAATTAGGGCATGTTTGTCAGTCAGATCAACTAATCTTTCATCCGTTTCCCAAATATTTGTTAATGATATATACCAGCTCTTAATGGAACCAGGCCATCTGACTACTATTAGGAAATTACTGCTCATGTGTGCCAAAGCAGTCCTTCCCAAACACTGTTGAAAACTGGAATCACCTGAGATCTTTAAAAAATACTACTGTCTGGCTCTTACCCCCAGTCAGTATAACTTCATTGCTATGAGATGTAAACTGGGAAGTGGGATTTTTAAACACTCCCCAGGCATTCTAATAATGTAACAATGTTTGGAAACCACTGATCCTTGAATTGCTTATGTTGGAGAAATGGAATATGCAATTAATTGTTAGCTTTTTGTTTATAGTGTCCTGCTGCATAGGGAGTCTTTTTTTTTCCCCCCTCATTTTATTTTAAAATAACCAACCTAAACCCAAACAACCAACACAGAAAAATTCTGAAGGAAATGACACAATGTTCTTTGCTTCCTGAGTAACAGATAACTTATCATGGTTAAACCCTAATTCTAATCTGAACTGGTATTTATTGAACAATCACAGGGTGTGCGTAGCCTTGCTCTAGGCCTTTGGGAGTACATATTAAAGGTCTGTTACATATAATCCTTGATCCAGTAACAGTAGGCAAAACATAGACATTTGTAAAAAATTGAAGTATACTAGGTAGTAAAATCTAAATGTTACAAGTTTGCAAGGGTTAAGAGAATTTGGATGCATGCTGATGGATTGCAGAGTACTTGATATTGGTTGAGGGACTTTGTTTAGGAATAGGCTTCCTTAGATTTGAGGGATAGGGAGGTATATTTTGTCATTTAGAGAAATCTCAGCAGAGTTGTAGAGACAGAAAACAAGCCAGACTTGATTGGAGAGGAAGCACAGAGAAACAGAAAAAGCAGATACTCAGACATTTGCATTTAATTGTGAAGGAGTTGGGTTTGAGGGTGGTGGACAGCAGAGTAGCAGGCTTAGGTAAATATGAGTATGGTAGTTTCATGGATGATACTTTAGTGCAAAAGAACTCTGCCTAAGCTAGAGTATTCCATAGGGGAGGCAGCTGATTTGGGAAGATAGATTCAGCTGGAGTCAGATAGCACAGATACATCCGAATGATTTCGCAGATGAAGTAGTCACATTTAGCGGTTGGTTGTACAGAAAGGATCAGAGTTCTGCAAGGAATTTTACTTTCACGTTTTAGTTTGGGAAACTGAGGGTATCAGGGTACTCAGCAGTCCATGGCAGACCTGATGACATATATGTCGGGATCACCAGTGGTGATTCTTGAAAATGCAGATTTCCTGAGTCCAATCCAGCTCTGTTGAATTGGAATTGGTGGCGGCTGGGCCTCTGCTGTAGACAGTGAGAAGTCCAATAAGAACAGTCAGATGGAGAGAGTTTTCTTTTGCCGGTAGAGGATAGATGAAGCCATGAGGGCTTTCCCGAAAGAGTAGAGTTTATCAGGCCCCCGGGTCATGGTTCCACGTAGCTTTGGGGTTACGAGAGTCCAAGTTTCACCTGCTTCGGAGGTGAATCTGAGGCAAATTCACAAGTATTCATGGCACCTCTTGTTCATTTACTCCGCCGCTTCACTTCCAGCCCCTTCTGCCTATCTTTGCATGACCCCCGGTTTCTGGTGCCCTGTAGTAGTTTATCCCTTTGTGGGAAGACATCCCCATTATTCTCAAGCTATTTTAGATAGCCTTTCCTCCACTTTGTTAACCTTGTTGAAAATAAACATTCCTGTGCAGCCACCATGACCTGTGGCTCTCTCACGATGGAGTCTCATGTTCTTCCTGCATCTCCGGAAGAAGATGCTGGGCTCCTTCTTCTCCTGGGCCTCCAAAACACCAGTGACCCAGGGTTTTCTTGAGGACCCAGTGCTTAAGCTAGGTTCTGAAGGATAAGGAGGAATTGTCCAGGTACACAGATGTGGAGCGTCAGACAGAAGAATTTTGGCAGAGGAATTATGATTTCACGTATATGTGTAATCTAACAACAAAACAAAACAGAAACAGATTCATAAATTCAGAGAACAAACTGATGGTTGCCAGAGGGGAGGGATGAGGGGAGATGGATGTAAAAGAGCAAAGGAATTAAGAAGTACAAACTTACAGTCAGAAAATAAGCCATGGGACTGTAATGTATAATCAACAATGT